GTTTTTGTTTTTTTTTTTTTTCTTCTTTCATGGAAAATGGGCATGATATCAGCCTAAAGGAAAATCACAGCATTCACATCAAGTCTCTAACGATAGCTTTTAAACTCTGTTGCACTTGAGCCGCTGTGCCAATTTTAGAACTGATGCCTACTAGCTGCTGTCAGCACGCAGGGAGGTATTCTTTTCCCAAAGCACCAGACAACCAAATTTATGCATGAGAAAATTCTCATATCCTATCTTGTTCTTGTGAAAGAATACAAAGCTTGTTGTCCAGGGCGTGGGGGCCGTCTGGTAGGGGTTTTTTAATTCCTTGAACAATAGGCTTCTGTCAGTGCTGCTGGAGAAGACCTTCAGCATCTTTTGATGTCAGTAGCACGATAACAATTTATAACAGCCACTGGGTTGGCCACATGGGAAGGGGGAGGAATATTCACACTGCCCGACTATACAGAAGTGCTTTAGCACGGTAGCTCAGTCTGCCTGGGATCCCGACCATACTGTATCCCCCTACTCCTTCATAACTATGGAAGGAGCCTGGGGAGATCAGCTGGCTAACTTGAGTACATCAAACGCGTGCCTAAAATTAGGTGAGGTATATCTGGGGTTTGGTGCCTAATTGTCAGGCAGGTGCCAGAAATCAAGTTCAGATGCATTCACTGATCAGGTTCCTGAACTGGTTTGTCTGTTCAACCTAGAAAATAAAGCCCAGTTCCTGGAAAAGTCCTTGACTTACACTGACACAGCACCTTGGACTACTAAAGAGGCATATAAGCGTAATTGCAGCAGTACCGTTTCAGTATGGCAGCAGCACCACACCAAACTGCTTTGGGTGCATGTCTTAAGTCCATTGAAGTTTCTGCATCCCTAAGTTCTAGTTTCCCAGTTCCTTTCTTCAGAGCAAAGACAGCTGCTGTATCATGTTATTAAAACTGTCATTGAGGGAAAAAGAGAACAAGAGCATGAACAAAACCAGACTGCTTCATTTGTTCTCGCTCTGTTCAATGGAGGTGAAAGATGTGTAAATAGGGCTGCACCAGCAGGAGTGCAGGAGAGGAAAGGAAAAACCAAGTGGGAAATATTAGATGGTTGCTAACATTGGATTATCCATGAGGTAATGAAGTCATTAGCTGATAATGGGATCTCATCTCATAGGGGTAAAAGCAGGAAGCCCCAGCAAGGACACAGCCCTCTAAGACTGATAACTCAGGCCAACCAACTCCTGCCCTCACCTTGAGGGAGAACTGCACAGCCCAGGTGAGGCATCTCTGGGTTTGCTTTCCCCACTTTGGAGTCCTAAATTGCAAGACCCTACTTATCTCCAGGCTGATCTCCTTTTTCGTGAACCTTGCCATAGTTGCAAGCAGGCCATGGGGATGCTTTAGCTGGTAAGGGGCCAAGCATGCACTGCAATAGCTCCATGCGCAGAGGTACTGGCAAGGGGTGAGAAGCTCCTACACCACAAATCAGCTGAAAAAACAGTCGTCTTACAGCCACTGAAGATCAGGAGGGATCTCCTGTGTCTGTGAATCCATTTCTCCCCTTGCATGGGTGTTTTGCCTTGTAATGCAGCTCACAAACTGATCCAACTGCTTTGCGTGGTATGGTATGAGGTGCGTTTGTCCATGCACATTTTTTCCTGGGCATGCATTGGGCTGTTGTTGATGAGATTTGGGCAGTGACCCTTTGAATAAATTTGGGAGGAGCGGGGAAGAGAAGGAAGTGTATCTGTACCACCCTGACAGCTGTCTGTTGCACGCAAGTGTATAACAAGGAACAGTCAGGATTATACTATCCGTGAGGAGCAGCCCTTGCTGTCGCTGGAAGGCAGCCAGGTCCTCTCTGTAGGCTTCCCCTGTGGCTCATGGAGAGATACGCTCCTCTAGAGCAGGAGACCCACCTTTATACTCAGAATTTCCCTAAAGGTTGACATGGCATTTCTGATGCTAAAAAGAACACAGAGCTTCCCTGTATAAACTCCTTTCTCCTCTAGGAGAAAGGGTGGGCAAAGGAAATTGCCGGCAAGCTTTGCTCCATGGTACCCATGCAGTGACCTCCGTGGAGAGGAGCATCATGGACAGTTTTGCAGCTGGACGGTGGTGAGGGCACAGAAACAAACCTCTTTGCTTACCAAGTCTTGGCTATTGCATTTTGCTGTTGGGGCTAACATGAAACAATTATTTCTCACAGCAAATGTTTGGACTTGGTAAAGTCCACCTTTGCTCTGACCTGACTCAGAGGGATCACAAAGGAGGTTATGCCACTCGAGTGAATGGAGCTAGAGCTAGAGGGGGTGCAAGGAGCCCCTCATTGTCCACAAAGCCACCCTGTTCGCATCTCACTCCCATGCCCCAAGGTTGTCCCAGGTCAGTATTATCTCATGGCCAAACTGGACTTCTAGCCTCACTTTGGCCACTCCCAGCACAAGATGGCCCAGCTGTCAAGAAAAAATGCATCCAATGGTAGGAATCCCACAGCAGCGAGCCAGGCCAATGTCCTGAGCTCAGTGGAGCATCCTTGCCCCCTGGGTCAGGCTCCTGCACCAAACCTGCCTGGGAAGCAGCCACCAGCATCCCTGCATCCCCACATGGCTTTGTCAGATCCTCTCTGGCTGAGATGGCTGAAAGGCTTCTGGTCACTGTGAGATCTGCCCGAGACCTGGCAGCTATGCCCAGTGCTGCCAGGACACCTGGCTTACTGCCCAGAGCAGCCCAGGAGAAAAAAAAATATACCACGTCCAGTTCTTCCACTGGCCAAGCAGGGACTGAAACTAAGCTTGCAGTTAGGATTTTGCCTGTGGGCTAAGACCAAATAGGGGGTTAAGAAAACTTGTGTATACTTTTTTTGGATTTTTTTTTTTTTAAAGGATCTTAAATTTGCTTAAATTTTGTTGTTAACTCACTAACTTAGGGGATATTCTTCAGAAGTGCTCTGGTCTAAACAAGCATAAAAACAGGGCCAGATTTAATAATCATATTGTAAAATGGTAATGTGCTTCCCAGCTTTTGCTGTCCTCAATTTTACAGTGAAGGTTCTGCTAAAGCCCCATGTAGATGCTGTTACCTAAAGACAAGACTGAAGTCCTCATCGCACACTTGAATGACTGACTGTAATTCTTCAGAATTATCTTTTATGTGACTTTTTCAGGTGAAATGTACAAAAATGCTCCCTCTCTGAAATCCTGCTCTCTTTTCAGAAGTTTCTCTGACTTCTCCCAGCTAAGCAGCCACAGACCCCGCAATCATTCATCCCTTTTCTGTTCATTCACACACAAGCCTTGCTATTATCTTGGAAATAATCCTCTCTTCCCATCTTGAGGCAACACACTGGCAAACCCCAGCCTGGTATGCACGAGTAGGGTGCTACCACAGTCCCCGAATCACAGCAGCCTTGAGCCAGGCAGGAGCCTGGCACGGACTGGGGTCAACCCCAGCTGCCCCAGTCCTATGACGGAAAAAGTGGTACTGGGAGAGGAAACATCTTACCACTCCCTGACCCTCCCTGCAAACCGTGGGGCTATGTCACCCCTACACCGGCACATGCCTTATGGGACATGTGGAATAAGCTGTAAGACACAGTAAAATGAGTCAGCCTCACTGCAGAGACGTCACCTTTGGGACTCCTGCCACATACACATTTACAACCGTAGCTGAATTTCCAGTCCCCCTCAGGGCCAGTGCAGGGGCTTGTTGCTATTTCTTGCTTTGGTTTTCAGTGCGATTTTGGCACTTGATGCCTTCCCACAGCACCGCTTGTTACCTGCACACTACAGTTTCCACAGGCTATAGCTGTAACCAGAAGCATGTTTGACTGCTGGCTGTTACAACTCCCAGCGGTGCTCCGGGGCACACTCCCATGCAATTGTATCCCACCGAAATAATCCTGAGCAAACAGCTCCTTTCAAAGACTTTCGCTCAGGGAACATCTGTGGAAAGCAGAGCAGTGCTACCTGAAACAGCCTTATCAATCATAGCGCTGCATGCTTTCAAATTGGTATATTTCAAGATGTTACAAGACTAGCTCTATGAGAAGGGAAACGTGCTGTCTGCTTCATGTCTGAGACCATAATTTAAGTGAAATGAGAGTTCCCCGAAGAGCTGGACAGATGCCAGACCTCCTTACCTCTAGTGACTGCCTTATGTATTTTTTATGATCTTTCCCTTTCTAACATTATTCAGCACAATATGTTTGACTGCCCTGGCTTTCCCTTCTGCTCCTCTGCCAGCAAAGCCAGCCAAGGCAGGCAGAAAGGACAAGATGTGTTGGGGGCAGCGAGACCAGGGTGCCCCCAGGCCGGCAGGGGGCCGGCACACCCTGCCGCAGGCATCCAACACATCGGCTGCTGCCATGCCCATCACCTCCCCAACGGGTTAGCGGCTCTCGCTTCTGTGATGTGGAAGGGCTGTGGTTTAGGTGTTGGTCAGTCCCGAGGGATTTGAGCTCAGAGCTCTTGTGATGGGCGTCCCCTCGAAACGGGAGCAAAGGGTTTTTATCTGGAGAAAGGTATTGCAAAGTGCAATGGAAAGCCTGGGTGTGAGAGGCAAACCCTAGCTCTCCTCCTCTCAGTTCAGGAGCCAACCCAGTATTTGAGGATCCTCCAGAAGCAATGGCAATCACAAGATCCCTAGTACGTTCAAGGAAGCTCTCCTCCCTCTCTGTCATCAAAATGCCCTGCATTTATTCTCTTTTAGATATTGTGTTATTGAGAGTTAGCATTTGGGGGAAGAAGGGAGTCAGCAATTTTAATTTAAGGATCCATCTGAAATAAATAAACTTAAATTACTGTGGAGCATCCTTGAAGGATGAGAGTCCTGGTGGACCCAGCACCTCAGCCTCAGACCACCTACTTTGTAAAGACCGCTTTTGCTCACCGTGCTTGGAATTCAGGGCATCACGTGACAAATACCATATACTTGCACCTATACCATACTCCATACCATTCCCTGCTATTTTTAAAACTCTGCTCTCCTGTAGTGCAGATGTTGTTGGGCGCGTGTACATACCACGTGGAAAACGCCGGCTGCCTTGACGGGCTTGAATCCAGCAACGGGGACACAGTGGTCGGCGTGGCCATTGCAGAAGCAGCTGCCCTTCACGATGAAGTCGTAGACGGCGTAGTGCAGGGGTGGCGGGGGCTGCAGGGCCCGGGGGGCCGGGCCTGCCGGGAGGCAGGGGCAGCCCTGCCGCTCCAGCAGCCGCACCCGCAGGTTGGTGATCTTCAGCTGCGCCTGGGCTTCTGCACTGTACGGGTCCTCTGCGGCGTAAGGCGGTGACAGGGCTCGGTATATCACCTGGGCACAGAGAAACGCAGCAAGGGAAGCAGAAAGGAGGATGTCAGCCAGCCCTGTGGTGGGCTGGGGGGTAGGATGGTGGCAGGAGCATCCCCCGGGAGCACGCACCAGGCTCTTGTGATGCTCTTCCCCCTCTGTGAGTGGCAGGAGCAGCAAATCCACCTGCACCCCAGTGTGCGCAAAGCGACCCCCCGTGATCCCCTATGCCCCTTTCCACACGAAGTCTGGACCCTACGGGTGTCAAATGACCTTTCGCCATTAATTTAAAGCAGAGGTCAGTGCTGCTGGTACGTGGTGTGGCCCAGCGCAGGCACTGGCAGTCCTGCAGGTGATGCTCAGGTGAGGAATTCTTCTTAAACATTTCCAACCCCAGAATGGGTGTATTTTTTAACAAATAAAGCTCAGATTTCCAAATATTTGGCTTCTATGAGTCCCAGGCTGCTTCCTAGTGGAAAAGTGATTAGATGTGGCAATTAGTGACAGCAAGCTGATAGTCGAGAAAACTGAGATAAGAAAGAAAGAAAAGTGGGGGGCTTCTGAAGTTTAAACAAATACTTATCAGTCAGTCTTTATTTTAACTTGGGTCTGATTGAATAGGTAAATATTGGCTCAAGCTGAAAATTTAGAGCACTAGATAAAATAACTGATTTTGTTGAAGAGGTTTATTTTAAACTTGTTGGTCAAGGTGCCTACAGTGTGACATCAGAAACAGCATGTAATTCACATAACTACTATTGGCATAAAAATGACACATTTACAACACACGTATTAGTTGCTGGTACATTTAACTTACAGTGACACTTTCTAAATAGTTAAATAGCTCTTCACTGAGTAGCCGCTGAAGGCTTGATGAACTACAGTATTTGTAAGCAACAGTTCAGTCAGCCACTTGACGAATGTTTGAGGGTGTGATGCAGCCTAACCACTTGATGCACTGCTCCCAGCAGCGGCTTAAAACCTCCTCAAACGGCCCCACTGCCCCGCTGATAATGACCCACGCCACCCGAAACATCAGCCAGCCTCCTATGCACAGCAAGGAGGTGTGCGGCAGCGAAGGGCGACCATAGTTCCTTGCCAGGACGTGCTTGCGGGATGCCTGGTGAGAGGCAGTGGGCGAGCCTGTCGGCGTTGCTTACGGAAATCACATCCTCCTCTCCCTAAATCCACTCCTACCAAAAGATGTGGCTGATATGCTTCAGCTGATGAAGGCTTCCCTTTTACTTCACCAGGATTCACATGTCCTGAAAATAATGACGCTGGTGCTGCCAGCTCGCCTGCCCGCGGGCTTTGCCTGCCGGCTGCCGCCTCCGCCAGCCGCGCCACTGCTGGCACTGCTCCTGGCTGAGTCCTGGCTTTTCTCCAGAGCTGCCAGGATCCAGCTGGAGGAAGGTTTGTCCTGGCCTGGAAGGAGATTTAGAGCTCGTTTCGGAGCTGAATGGCAGCAGTGTGCTTTCGCACACCGCATCTGCCTGCCAAGCACGGTCGCTACCAGCGCGCCAGTGACAGCGGGGCTCGGGCGTAGTGGTGCCGGACGCCACGCGTTGGCAAGCACGTCACAGCTGCGGCCCCATGCCGCCATCCTGCAGATGCTCCCTCCCAAAGGTATTCCAGCATCTTCTGCCAGGAAGATGTCAATAAGGGAGAAGGTTAACCGGGAAGAGGCGGTCAGAGGGCAAGGTTGGTGAGCGGTACACCCCTTGTGCGGAAGTGTGGAGTCTCATGAGGGATGTCAATAAATAGTAACACATTTCAAAAGGGTTTTTTTTCCCCTCTCTTTCAAGAACATACAGAGTTTTTTCTGCTTTCCTAAAATAAAAATATCAAGCAGATATGAACAGAAACCCAAGTGAACCCAACTATTAGGCCCTGCACCTCTCCCAAAGGCTTGTTATTTACCCGAATTTAAATCAATGTCATTCTGATCAAATTTACTTGTTAGTGGCTTTGTGAACACAAGATGCTTTCAGATATGGAAAGAAAATTCCTTGGGAAACATCCAAACTGGAGACATTGATTTCCTTTTAGTGGAGATGATGGAAAATGCCACGCTGAGAATTTTCAGTAAAAACTAGCAGCTTGGGTTCCTTTCGATTATGTAAATTGCATCTCAGAGAATTCTTTGTTCGTCCTGATTCTGATGAGAGCGGCAAAGGAAACACATAAATGGGAACAATTTTTGCTAGATGCAACTGCAGACTTTCTTCTCATCATTTTCAGTTTTTCTTGTTTATCTATCCCCATTTAATGCACGTGACCAATGCTTGTAGCTCTAGTAAAGACAATCGCAGCAAGGAAATCAATAACCCTGAGGGCCTTTGTGCCGAGAGAGTTAAATCTTGCCTGTGTGGAATTCAGGGAGAGTTATGCTGCTGATCTCAATGGAGCCAGTATTCCTGCTCAGGCCCTAAAATGTTACAAACATTTCTTTTTATGGCTACTTGAAAACAGTGATGCTAAACATGAGCCCTATCTGTAATTCCTAGGGGCTGCGGGCTCTCAGCCGCTCTCCCTGGCTGCCCTGTACTGCTCCAGCTGTGCCCAGCAGCCCCGGCCCCAGCTTCAGAGCTGCGCTGCACCCTGCAGCAGTGCAACCTAACAGGGTGAGCCTGGTCTCAGTGCTGCCAACACAGTAAACACCCTCATCCCTCCGTCCCAGGTGCTAGTAGTTCTGTTTTAATAAAATACAAACCAGTCATTATCATAGAATCATAGAATGGTTTTGGTTGGAAGGGACCTTAAAGATCATCTAGTTCCAACCCCCCTGCTATGTAGGATGCCATACAAACACCAGTTCTCTGCTCTGCCCCGGCCGATTGAGCTGGAGCCCCCAGAGGCTGCATAATAAGGTCAAGGACCTGTTTCCCAGCAAGATTTCCCTGTGCAGTTGTTAACCTCACTGATTTATCCCAGCCTGTCTCAAAGGTCAGCACATCACTGGGGCCACACGGTCCTCATACAGCTGTTATGGGTCTGCAACCTCTCTGCTGCCCAACACCCACATACACCCATGGGCGGGTAGCAGCTTTCCTGCTTTTACCTTTCCTTGGACTTTTCCATGCAATTGTCCCACTGATAGGACTGGTCTTTGTCTGTGGCATCCCATTGATGAACAAACCATGGTTTGCACAGCAAACCTGACTGGGTTTTCACACCTACAGTTCTGCCGGCGGCCCCTGGCCACTGCAGTCAGAGGCTTCCTCAGCCAAATTATTGTTTAGTTTTAATGGTGCCCAGGAAGTATGTAGGCAGGATTTGAGAAGAATGTGCTGCCAACATGCATGTGTATCTGATGATGGGGTTTTGCAAGCCCATCATCTCCCTGGTGCCAGCGGACAGGACTTCCTCTGAGCGACTCTGTTGGGCCAGTGCTCCCTAGCCGCCCTGGGACACTCATGGTGATGTGCCCTATCCACAGCCATCATTTCCTTTTCCCAACAGCTCCCTGAAGCCCTCTGGGTTTATCTTGCTAAAACCATACAGAAAACACGCATGCCTGGCTCAACCTGCAGGGGCAGAAACTCTCCCCAGTGGCTCCACCACCACGGTCACCATCTTGGCACATGTCATGTCAGCTTTTTAGCTGTTGGGGCAGCCCCTCTGCCAGATGCGACGGGGGGACGGCAAGTTCCCTCCCACCCCCCAGAGACATTGCTGCCTGCAGAGCCATCAAGTACATTACTCTTCCTATCCCAAAAGCACTGGAAAAAGTCATGCCCAAGGGTCCTGCCAAAGAGAGCTGTGCTGTGATTACACAAGGAAGATAAGTAGCTCGATGAGGTACAGGAGAACATTCTTTTTGATAGATGATGCCATTCCTGTTTTCACAGAGCAAGGCCTCGGCCAGGAGAAAGCTCTGCTACACACAGGGGAATGCATCCACCCCCTTGGTAAAGGAGCAATGGCAGCAAAATCTGGCCATTCGCCTGCAGCGAGCCTGACCAGAAAGCACCCCACGGTGACCAGGCCTCCGGCTTTCCCACGCAAGTCTGTCTGCATGCAGGTGTCTTACTGACAACATGTCAAAGCCCAGCATTACAATGTTGGGTAGACAATGTGACTTCTCCCAGTAGTCAGCACCACATATGATAGCGAAGGGTGAGAGGCCTGGATCTCTACATCAGCAGCTCTATAGTGCACGCACTAATCCAAATTTTCTATGTTGTAGAACAAGCAGGAAGTAATAAATTGAAAACTCACAGCACTTACGTGCTAGACATGCCATAATATATCCTATCAGAGTCCCAGTGTTGCTAGCTCACTATAAATCTTGTGGTATTTGGGATTCTTCTTAAACACAGTCCCAGGAATTGAATCTTTGTCTCAGCTTCCATTTAAAACTAAGCATCTAGCAATATCTCATATCTGAGGAGCAAATGTCACAAACCAGGAGGCAAATAAAAAGAACCTCTGTCTAAAACAAAATATCAGTATTTGGGGTAATGCTACTTCCACGTCATGTGGAATTATGCTGATGGATCCCATGTCCTATAAATGCGACGTCTCCATGAAGCAACATCAATAGAGAAGTGATTTAAAACTTGCATGAGGATTTTTTGGTGGGAAAGAAGTCTCTCTACACAGCCAAACAGGAACTGTAGACTGCAATCCCTGAGTGACGAATGCCACTGCTATGCCTCGAGAGGGTCGGGTTCACCGGACCTTCCCAGTGGGATGCCCGGCGGTGGCAGGAGGGAGCCCACTCTGCTCCCAGGGGAGCGGGAGTGGAGAAGCTGCCCTGCAACGCCTTGCACATGCCACGGAGTAAAAATATTCTGCTCTTTAGCCAGACCGCATTGGCTGTCTGTGGTTTGGGCACATCATTACATAGACAACCTCTAATAAATTTCCACAGCATTTCAATTTCCTTATGGGCTGCCATGAACAACTCTTGCTATGGTGATTACTTCACTTTATTTTGTCTTAGTGGCACAAGAAGCCTTAGCTACTTGCCATTGCGCAGATGCAATAATATAGCCCTGTATATAAATAAAACGGCAACC